ACTTCAAAAGTGCTATTTTAGAGAATTAAATTGCATGTTCTATTAATAAATAAAACCTGAAGAATAGTTATTGATTCATAATGAAATGAGTAGCATTCAAATAAATATTTGATATACTTGTTTCTGACGTATAAAATTTACTACTATTAGATATTGTTATTATTTGTATATCTTTAATTTAAACTAGGTTTTAAAATACAGATGGCTGAAACCACTGCCAGGGACAGGTCTGTGATACTCAGAACTTATGAGTATAGATCAAATGGTGTAACACGTGAGATAAAAATAAGAAAAAAGTGGACGGGGCACAGAAAACACAAACAGGCCATTTCTAAAATCAATGCAGAAACCCCAAAAATTGCCCACAAGGAGCACTGCCATCCTTTTGCCCCAAATAGAGGAATAAAAATACCAATGTTAAAAGTGACAGAGGCCCTGGGCAGGGCAGGGCTCTTACCGTCTTCCCAACTAGTTAATGACACAGTAACTCAACCACTTTCTTCCTCGCCTGCTGCCTGAGCTATAATTGCCCACTCTGCTCGACTGCGTATTTTTGACTCCTTCCTCCTTCCCCATATTTTCATCCTTCTGGGTTCTGAGTCACTTTTCTTTGTGTATTAATTAAAATCCTTGATGGATCATTCCAGATTTAAATTCCAATTCTGTTTATTTTCCTTCATGTCAAACTATTAAAATTCTTACGATAACTCACAAAGTTATAGCCCACGGAGTGTGAGTTCTGAGATCACACCGCGCCACCCACCCCACCTACAAAATACGGAGCTAATCTTCAAAAGTAAGATGGCTGTTGTTGGGAGGAGGGTTTCAAGTCTACGAAAGGTGGTTGTGAGGATTCCTGGTTTTAAAAGACTCGTTGGTAAAAGACAGATCAGGCACCATTGTGACCTCTAGTGATCTAAAGGGATGACACCAATTGGCAAGCTAAGCAATAGTGGAGAGACCACCTTGAATGCCCTTTCCTGTTAATGAACTTGATGTCTACACTATATGCTATCCTAGAACCTTCATCCAGTGACTGATGGAAGCAGAGGCAAACACCCACAGTTAAACACTGAACTAAACCCAAGGAACCTAGCATCAGAGAGAGAGGAGCGATGAGAAAATTGGCAAAGAATGGGCTGGCAAAACCAGCAGAGACAGCTGATCTGAACAGGGGAGAGCTCTTGGACCCCAGACCGACAGCTGGGGGGCCAGCATGGGACTGATCCGGATCCCCGAATGTGAGAGTCAGTGAGGAGGCCTGGGCAACCTATGGGACCCTGGGCAGTGGACCAGTGTTTATCCCTGGAATACAAACAGACATCGTGTGCCCATAGCACAAACAGGGATGCTCTCTCTGCCTGGACTCTTGGGGAGTGCCTGGACCCTACCCTGAGTGAAATGATAGACTCTGGATATTCCCTATGCAGAGGGAATTGGCAATAGGGTGGGAGGATGGGGGGGATGGGTGGGGGGGGTGCGGGAGGAGGGAGGGAGAGGGAACTGGGATTGACATGTGGAGCAAGCTATTTAAAATTAAAATAAAAAAGAAACTGTAAAAAAAAAGAAATATATATTAGGTTCTGAAAAAAAAAAGACTCGTTGGAGCTCAAGGAGGGGCCGTGGACAAGCAGAACGGGGACAGGGCAGCGTGTTGCCTGCAAGGGTCCTTCCAGTGTGTCCCCCGAAGCCCTGCTTCTCTCTTCAGTAGTACCTCCTCCCAGGTGAGACACGAGGAAACGCCCAGGGAAACACGAGGAGCGTGACAGATCCCTTTGTGCCCTGGATGCCGGGGAATTTCCACAAGCTCGTCCTCACGGCGCAGGCCTGTAATCCCCGCACTTGAGAGGAGGTAGTGGCCAAGACAGGAGGATCTTGCGTTCAAGGCCAACCTGAACTACCTAGTGAGAGCTAGTCTCAAAACAAACAGATAAGAAGATAAAGGTCTCCAAGAGTTCCAGCTTCCAAGCCGAAAGTGTGGTGTGATGACCGAGGCACAGGAAAAGACGAAGGAAAAAGAAACCGCAGCACTGGCCGGGCGGTGGTGGCGCACGCCTTTAATCCCAGCACCCAGGAGGCAGAGGCAGGCGGATCCCTGTGAGTTTGAGGCTAGACTCCTCTACAGAGCTACACAAAGAAACCCTGCCTCGAAAAAACAAACAGAAATAGCAGCACCAAAAATTCATCTGTTCCCCTTCTTCTGAAAAGCTCACTGGTGATGAAAAAGCACATTTAGAAAACCTAAATTCCTTCACCCACTGAGACATACAGCAAAAGATAACGCCGCAGGAAAACCATTACCTTGTCTGTCTGACGGTCTTGCACACTGAGTTTGGAAACCAGCCCAGGAGCAACTCAACTGATGATCTCCAGCAAGCATTTCTTTCCAAACATAGGGCACCTCTGGACATGCTTTGGGATCAGGAGGTAGAGAACACTAGACCCTCACTTCCGTTTCTGTTGGATTCTCATTGCAGACATGCAGAAGGGACTTTTCCTTCTTGGCATCAGTAGAGTTGATGTTCATTTGCATATACCCAGAGACACTAAATGATCCTTGAATAAAGGTGACAGCAATGATACCGAGGGCTCTACTAGTGCAGATGACTGGCTACTGCTGGGCTGTTTCCAGTCAGAGCTGGCACTCACTACCCCATGGCTGGGGCTTTAAATTAAGTTCTCCTTGATAAAACTGCACACAGTAATTGATATTCCCATTACTTACAGGTCCGTGTGTCTGCACACTTTGTGTAGTTTTATAAATATAATGACACATTATAGAATTGCAAAAGCTTTAAAAAATAATCTAGTTCCTTAAGTTGGATTATCAGAAAAACATTCTAAGTGTTTTCATCAGCACTGTAACTGATGGGAATGAAAACCCAGCTCTGGAGAGAGGGTACAGGAAATGCTTTTTATTTCCAGGCTCTATAAGGGAGGGCCCGCCTCCTAAGAAAGACTGGAAAGCATCAAAGAGCAAGAGATGAATTAAGGGACCTGTGTATCATAGACTTGGAAGCTTTCAGCTACTCACATGACGGCTGTTATTGAATCAGATGATTAAGTGACTCCAATTTCAGCTAATAACAACACTGACATTCTGCTGTGCTAGTCCTCATGACAAAGGCATCAACTAACCCAAAATACCTAGTATGCAAAAATAGTCTAGAATATTAAGGTGAAATAAACCGTTAATTCTGCACATTTCTCTCATTCTGTTATTAGGAAATAATTAGAAATATTTAACTAATCATGGCTCTGATACGTAGGTGATGGGCATGTTTCTGATGTTTCTTTTAGAAGGTGTAACATCATTCTGGACATTAAGAATCTTTTCTAAGATTTTGTTTTAACAGTGTGTGGGTGCCTGAGGACTCTAAAAACAGGCATTGGCTCCCTTGAAGCTGAAGTTAAAGGCGGTTGTGAGCTACCGGATGTTAGTGGTGCTGGGAACTGAGCTCGGGTCTTCTCAAGAGCAGCTAATGTTCTTAACCACTGTGACATCTCTCCAGTCCAATACCCTGTCCTGGCCTGCACTGGCACCACACTTGGAAGTGGTACACATATTTATGTCCAGGCAAGCACACATGTAACACAAAAATAAATCCTCTAAGGAAATGAAGTAAGGTTAAATTAACTTCCTATTCAGTTAATGCGTAATAGGACGCACATTCCATAACACGACGTGATGCAGATAGTTAAAAATAAACTTTAGAAACACTTCTTTGCTTAGCATCCTAGAACAATAACTAAGGAAGAAATAAAATCTACCATTCCACAAAGAGGCAAAAAAGATGAAATATGACTTAGCACAAACAAAAGAGTAAAGGTGAAGGAGAAAGTCCCTAATACAAAGGTCGAGTTAGGAAATGAACTTCTGTCTTGCAGAGGGAAACTGTCTACATGGTTTTCTTCAACTCTGACAAATGATAGTAAATTAGGAAATAGATACATAAATGGGTGGCGGTTATAGTCATTGTCAACTTGACACCCAGGAAGGATTGTCTGACTTAAGGCTAGCCTTTCAGAAGATGTGTGAGGGATTATCTTGACTAAATTAATCGACACTGGAAGACCATCTTTGTTGTAGTTGGGACCACTCCCTGAGCAGGGGATCCTGGACTATATAAAATATCTTGGAAAGCTCACACTGGTAGACTTGCATCAACCCACTGCTCTCTTCCTAACAGATGCTGTAACTTCCCTGCAATTATGACTCAAATAAGTTCCTTTCCCTTAATTTACTCTTGTTCACATTTTTGTCACAGCAAGAGAAAGGAAACTAAGACCCAGTGTCATATAAATTGTTTTTTAAGGTATTTCAAAATTCCTAAGCATAATAGGAAGCCCAATAACACTACCTTAGTCTTGGCTCTGGGCTTGGATAGATCCATGGAGCCACAGTTGAGGATGTCTTTATCCTCTTCAGCTTACATGGGCCAGGAAAGACTTTCATAGGATCTAAGCTATGCCCACTAGCAAAAGTGATAAAGCAGAGTGAAGTGTCCTCCATCAAGTAGTCTAACAACCCAGAACCAGTGGGAGGAAAGAGCAGGGGGTGGCGGCTTGGGCATCTCAGTTGTCCTCTATTCCAGGGCTGGTTTGTTTCTGGGCAGGAGTCATAAATCAAACTACCAACGGCCAGCAGAAAAACTCAGTAATAGAATCAATGATTCAAGAAGTATGAAATATCCTTCCAAAGAATGCTATGTAGAAAAAAAGTCTTGAGAAGCATAGAGTTCCTGTAAATAGGGAAGTGGACAAGATTACCCTTGGAGAGCCACAGCAACGCTAATGGTGCCTTTCCAAGACCGAGTGCCCACCAACGCCAGTGGTGTCTTTCCATGCTTGAGAGCACACCAGTGTTTTATGTCTCACTGCTTAACTTCTCGAGGACTTGTCTCCATGGTGAGTGGTGAGAGGCAAGCAGGGCAGACAGCCCCCAAGAGAACATGAGGCCTACTTTCCCTTCATTTGCATTTGGAACGGGCACATGAAGATTTACCTCCCAAAGGTTATTGTACTTCATGCTCGATGGCCCTTCCTGTAAGAGAGATCGTCACCAAGAGGGCTGGAAGATGCAGGAAACCACCTCGTGGGAAATCACTACAGCCTGACAACCTTAGGTGTGTCACATGGTGTCATCTGAAGAGAATGCATGGAGTGTTAGCACGCTGTCTCATTTTGTCATCATCAGATTATCATTCCAGAGGACTCCAGAGGCCGGCGTTCTTTGCTTTACCATAGAAGAAACTTCAGGCTTTATAAGACTTTTTGGAAAATGTAACTACAGGTAACAAACGTTCTCAATGAAGAAGAGGGAAGCAAAGGACAAAATTCTGTCTTAAAAGCCATCAAAATGACCTGCTGAATGCTGAGTTTAGGTGAGCACTGATCTTTAAAAACTAAATGGGTAAGTTTGTATACATGCAGATTCATTATTTTTAAAAAAGCCAAAAAATTCACCTAAGTATATATTTAATTCCATAAGATCCCAGAACACTTTGGGGATTTAAACTGATAAGCTAACCTCAAAGGGACTGATTCTTGCAACTAAAACACAGACACCTCTGGGGTGAAATGTGGCAACAGTTTGACAGGCATAGCAGTAGGCTAGAAAGGATTCATCCAATTAAAATTACGGGATGAATTTTGGCTGGCAGAACGTAATTACCAGCCTTGGAATGGATCCAGGATCCTGAGGTTAACACCCTTCCTCTTGCCAACAACCCTCCTACCTGCCAACACTCCGAGCCGGAGAAGGCTGGATCTGACATAATCGCACATAATACTGTTGTGACATCTAAGTACAATGATGATGATGTGAGAAGCATCATGAACCTGAGTTTTTTTTAACACTCATTATGTTACTTATTTTTATGCCACATTAGGCTAGAAACCAAATGTCCACATAAATGTTAATTTCCTCCAAACCGTGTTTAAAAATTATAATTAGAAAATTAAAAAATAGATTTAAAAATTAATTTATTCCATCAAAGTAGTTATTTGGTGATTATTTCACTTCAGGAGTGAAACTAGATAAAAATGGTGACATTAAATTCTTGTTACTTAAAAGGAAAGAAAACAACAACAACCCAAAACAGGTCCTGATTTTTTTTGTTTTGTTTTGTTATTTTTTTGGAAATGTGTTCTCAAGGTTGATTGGCCTGGGGGGATGGAGAAGGAAATGCTAAGCAAACTCCACATTCCTGGTAAACTTATTAAATAAAGATGTGTAGGCATGGCCTTTGTGGTACTCCTGGCAGAGCTCCTGCTGGTCTACCACCTAAGGGTTAAGACCCCATCTGGAAATTCTAAGTCCATTGAACTCTGGGAAGGACTGAGAGGAAGGGCCTGCTTGGCTCTGTGGTCCCAAAGCACCTGATGACTGTTGTGCCTAGTCCTCTTCGGGCCTGGTAGCTGTGGTCACCACAAGTTCCTAGGGTGACTGAGACCTGGGAGCTCAGAACGCTGAGGAGCCTGTACCCCCAGCCCATTCCTCAGCACTTGACCCTCCAGCTCCTCCAGGGACTTTGTTCTAGCACCTGAAGTCATTCAGGGTTACTGGATGGGTTGGCGATATGAGATCTTCCTGTCCCAAACCACCAAGAAAAATGGAACATTGCTTTAGGTCCCTTCTAAGAGCAAAGGCTATATCAGAGACTCCTATGGCATGCTCACGATAGCTTTTTCTGGGAAGGTGGATTTCTCTATCACCATCTTTGTGTGATTTAGCTTGTCCTTGGGGAAGCAGAATATGGAATGAGTGGATGAAACTAATCCTTTCTTTTGCACTGTTAGGGGTTGCCATAAACACCATTTGTTAAAAAGCATAATTACATTGGGAAAGTGCCTGATGAGACAATTAAGCTACATAAACACACTGAAAACAAATGAAAACCAGGAGATACCCATACCCCTTGGGTAAAGCTATTTTTTTTTGTTTACATGGGAAAGTGAGGTTTGAGTTGCATTATTGCGATGTTATTAATGACTAGAAAAATCCAGTGATGGTAGTTTCTGAATTTTCTGTGTTGGGACAATGGAAAACATACATGTATGTGCGAAACCCATCACACAACAGCCACCATGTGCCTGCAGAGCGAGGACATCTGACCTTAGCCATTTTAGTTTAAACCCTAATTCACTGCAGTATCCTTCACTTGGAGAACTTTCCCAGACACAAAAACATTCTTTAAATGTTTGTGGAATGAAAATGAATGAACCAGGGCCTGGTTCATTTTCAGTTGTGATATTTAAAAGAGGCCCACATTATGAGGGCCTGATCTTGTATTATTTTCTTATATTTTGAGATATTTTGATTCTTTTAGATTATAATGTTGTTTGAGGTATGAGAGATGGGTTACCAAATGTCATCTGGTGTTCTAAAAAAGAGTCAGTGTAACACCCCAAATGTGCATGATTAATACTTCTATGACAAAAAGTAAGTCCTATTTCTGGCCTTATTGAGTAACACATATGAGAATATATGTCTCTCAGTTCAAGGAAGAGTCTCAAAAAAGATTTATTTTAAACTGATATAAAAACTTTGGAGATGAAAGGACAGTGAGAGCTGATACAATCAAATAGCCAAACCCACCTGGATCATGCTCTACAAAGATAGTTCTTTATTTGGCACAGGGATGTGTTTTTTTTTTTAATCAACATATCAAGTGGCCTCTGTCAGCATATTTTGGTTAACAAACTAGTCCTGCCTGCTTGTTAAATAGTATAGGCCTGGAAAGTGGAAGAAGCTAAGTCGAATAACATGCTTCTATAAGAAAGTAGCACTTCACAGCCAGACTGAGTAATTTGCCAGTTATTTTCCAGTGTTGTTACTTCATTCCTGTGTCCAATGCACCTGACCACTTATATGTGGAATGCTGTTTCAGCCAGCCTGAGGACTTTTTCTGCAGCTCTTCTCTAAGAACAATAGTAAAGTGTTTGGGTCATGCATGACATCCTGCTTTCCAGGAAAGCGGGACTCTTGTGGTTAAGTAACATAAAGAGAACACTGAACTACAGAGACGGAAGTCAAGAATCAATTTTCTTTTTTTTCCAGAACAGTCACTTTTGCCTCTATCCTGGAGCTCCATTCGGAGGCCTGCTTACCCAACACTTCAGAAGCCAGAAGAGAGAGAAGACGCTGTTGAGAGCAGAGCGAAGCGGTTCTTGGAGAAAGTGGTGTGAACACCTGGCAGTTATTGTGGCTACTGCTCCACACTCTGCATCTATAGACACTCTTTCTGCCATGCTCCCTGGTCTTGAGCCATCACAGACAACTCCCTCTGCAGCAGCTCTGGGGTACTGAGATAGACAGATAGACAGATGGACAGACAGACAGATGGACAGACAGACAGACACTGAATATGTTAGTATGCACACCTGGCCTTTTCACATGCCTGCATTAGTTTAGCATGCCACAGATTGTGTACTGTCAGGCCCATGAGTAAGAGGGTACGGTTACCCAAAAATGTACTATTTGCTTCATGGCCCCTTATTTTATCATTAATACAATAAGCACCCTACATAATACTTCATGCTTTTTATTTCAGAAGTTAAATAAAAAATAAGCTATGTGAATGCAAAACAGTTTTCAAAGCACTCTTGCCAACGCAACCTGTGATAGCATTACAGTATTATCGCCCCTGCATTTTCTCTTTTCAGGGACTATTGGGCAATTACACTGAAATGATATGCACAGGGTCACCCAGTAATTCAGTGGAGACTGGAACTCAAGCCTCATTCCTCCCTTGGCTAGCACTACTAGGAGATGCTACTATGCTTTTGTCACCCTCCACAAAATGGTCTTGTGGTGACACATGGTTTAAATATCATTTGCTTTTATAGTCAAATGCACATAAAACATAGGGTATCTGCAGATTTGTAATCATTTAAGTAGAACTGTTTTGTTATTAACTCAGTAGCTTTGTATCACTAGGTGAGTATTAGAGTGTCAGCCTTATGTCACCAAAACAGTGTATTTTAATTTCTGATTGTCAGCTTTTATACTGTCCATGAGAAAGAAGAGGCTGCCCCAAGCCTCCTCTAACTAGAAGCACATTTAGGCTACGGTCTTCCAACTTGGAAATGTTTGTGAAATTCTCCGTAATTACTGATTTTTAAAAAGCAACACCTTTCAGAGTCACTATGAAGCCGGCTCGTTCACTTGTTCTTTGTTGGAAGAGCCGGTGTGGGCTCTTCAGTATCAGGAACAGGACATCTAATGGGGTGGGCCACCCGTGTCTGTGACTGAATGAGCGTGCAGAGATGCTTGTGGAAGGTACACACTGATGGGTTTCTGGGTCTCAACTCACAGTTCTTATCAGCTTATTAGTGGCAGCTGCTCAAATGGAATTATAGCTATTATACTCCATTATAAACACCAAACAATTTGCTTCTGTGAGCTTCATACGGGCAGCTTCTCCTGCCAGCACGCATTCTCTTCGTACACACAGATTTAAGAAATTGCAGGAGAGTGAGGTTCATTCTTTTAGCATTTGGGACTACTGAATCATACACAACCAAGAATAAAAGCTTTTCACAAGACTTAAGCTAAAAGAAAAAAAAAAAAGAAAGAAAAGTCATCATATCTTTTCCTCCAGGAGCAAGGAAATTTAAGAAAGTTGATAAAATAGGAAATTTCACACTCTTTCTCTTGTTTCATCTTTTGTAGTTTGAAAGGTGTGGGGAGGGTTGCATTGGTTGAGGAAGTGAGGCAGGGGCTGGAGGGATGGCTCAGTGGTTAAGAGTACTAACTGCTCTTCCAGAGGACCAGGTTCAATGCCCAGCACCCACATAACAGCTCACAATTGTTTGTAACTCCAAGATCTAACACTCTCACACAGATATACATGCAGGCAAAACACCGGTATACATAAAAATAAGAATAAATAAATTATTTAAAAAGAAAAAAGTGAGAATGCTTTACAAACAATTTAAAGGAATGTATGCTTAATAGAGTAGATAAAATTACATAAATTTTATTTTTTCTAATTAAGCAAAAGTGGGCACGTTTAAATAGCTTACTAGGTCTTCACACAGGAACCTAAGCTATAAATGTTAGACCTGCATGAGTGCAGGCCTCCATAGATGCTCGTTTGACTGTGAACAAGTGACAATTTTTATCTTCTTACATGGGCAATATTAACGGTGTAGGGCTGCTGTAAGCTACAGTTCTTGGCTCAAACTTCTCTTTCCCCCATCTCTGAAAAGATCTGTTGTTAAGTTGCCAGGGGACAGAGGCATAATAACATCACTAAAGGCTTAATTACCACCCCCAACCTTTAGTCCTACACTTTGAATTTGCTTTTGTAGGATTAAGGGGGACTTTTAAGGAGGCTGGACCAGGCTTGTAAACTTCAAAAATAACTTTGGGTTTCTGTTTGACTGCTACAACAGGGTATAGCAGCCTTCTCCTCCAGGTTACACAGTCCAGTGTGTAAGGTGCCAAACCTGGAAGTTGTTAGAGGCTAACTATTGTTGGCCTTCCGAAGGAGACGGTACAGTCATATAGTCAGAATAGTTTCAAATGGACAGGTGTGTGCATACCCTAAACCAATAATGGTAAGCACTAATTAGCTTTCCGTAGATTGGTGTTTTGTTGTTGTTTGTTTGTTTGTTTGAAGAGTTCAGACCTTGCTCAGGGAAGTTTGATTTCTGGTTTTTGGAAGGAAATATTGAAAAGAACAAGGAGACACAAAAATGTAAAGTAACACAGTTTTTGTTGTTGTTTCAGGGTTTTGGAGACAGGATCTTACTATGTAGGCCAGCTTGGCCTTGAACTCATGATTCCCCATACCTTAGCCTCCCAAATATTGATGCAATCAGACTACTGAATAAAAACTTAGCTTAGACTAAGAAGAGAACTTTGTGAGTTGGGTAGCAAGTCCCTAAGGTCTCTTATAGACATCCAATGCTTACAACTGAGTTGACCCCTCCAGCTGTCTGTATTTATGCGTGTTGTAGGGAGTTGGCAACCTTGTATATGAATGTCATGCTTGGTGTCACTTACAATAGTCTCATTATAGGATTGTTCTATCAAATTAAATTTAATTATATGAGAATAAATCAAGTATTAAAATTTCATAACAGAAAAAATTCTTGGATTTTAGGGGCATTTTCTTTTTAAAATAAAGTATTTTTCTTTCTTTTTTAAATAATTCTTCATATAATCCATCTATGCATACAATGTATTTTGATCATACTTACTCCCTTACCTCCCTTATCCATCCGGATCCACTGTCTACCCACATACTTCCAACTTAGTATCCTCTTCCTTGACTTTAAACCTACAGGTCACTTTGTGCTACCCACATACTTAATGGATGTGGCCCATCAGCTAGAGTATTGCCAACCTACAAAGAGTCTACACCATGAAAACAACTGACTCTTTTTCCAAAAGAAATCACCAACTATCAAAAGCCCCACTGCCTCCATGCTGGACTGTTGTCTGGCTCAATCTGTGTAGGTCTTATAAAGACAACCACCGCTACTGCTTCTGTGAGGTTATGAGTGCAGTGCTCCCGTCACGTTCAGAAAACATGATTTCAGTCTAATCCTTCCCAATCTTTGGTTCTTAAAATATTTCCATCCCCTCTTCCTTCATGGTTATTGAGCCTCGGGGGGGGCAGTGGGAGCAGGTATGATACACATGTCTTATCTATGGCTAAGCACTGCTCGGACACTTTGATCAGCTGGGAGTTTCCATGTTGACCTCTGTCCGTTGCACAAAATCCTGAGAGCTGACCTAATTTGCAGCTATAGAGATAAATATTTTGAAGCAGTTTGCTAGGACCTCTATTTAGCAAGATAAAAGTAGTTGGTTCCCTTTGGGGTCTATGGTCTCTCCAACTATGGCTACCTGGTCAGACTTACAGTACCAGGGATATGCTTTTCTCCGGTGGAGTGCTGGTGCTGTGTTTCTTTTGGGGGTCAGTTGAAGAAAGAGGGTCAGTCCAAAATGTAATTCAGACTTAGCAAAAGCAGCAGGTGGAATCAGTCTCCATGGACTGATCACTCTGGCTTTACAAAAACGTCTTTTATTGTTACACAAATTACACCTCTAGCAAGTCAATTTCCCCTACCAAAAGCCCTTACCTGGATTTATTTGAAGGAATCATTTGCCTAAGCAATTCTCAGCCATGAAATCTGGTTTGCCATGTACTCTCAAGACTAAGTTATACAAAGTTTCTGTAATTTCATGAAAAGAGCAACTCAGATAACAACCCCTGACTTTTAACAAAAGGTAACAATTCTTGACTTTTAACAAAGTGTGACAATCAATGATTTTAAACAAAAGGTAAAAATCATTGACTTTTAACAAAGAGTTCAAAGCCTAGGTGCTATCACTCTGGAATTCAAGCCAGATGTAATAGCTCTGTGGAAACTCTCCCTACCCAGAGTAGACCTTGAATCAAATCAGAAAGTGGTTGGTTACCCCAACAACATTTATGCCACTATTGTACCTACAGGCACCTCTTGCCAGATCAATCATAAGTGTAGCTCACAGGGCACTCATCTGCCTATGTCTCTTGATAATTTTCCCCTTCAGCACCCTGAATAGCATTTTCCAGTACTATGAAAGCCAGCCAGTGGGAAGACAAGTTTCCTTGTCTGTTCAAGATTTGTCCTGTAATTAAACCATGTGATGTCTTCAGTAATGAGGACTTAATAATTTAGATATTGTGAGTAAGCAAGAGCAATGACAATAGCCTGAACTATTTTGGGTTTTCTGGAGTCTGTGACCAGTAGCTTGTAAGGAAGTAATCCATACCAGACACTGACATTGTCATGACTGTTGCACACATACTCTTACAGCAGCTGTGGGTACCTGTACAAAATCAATATAGTTAAAAATTACAGCCCAGAGTTATGAGTGGCTTCCAATGCCCCACCCCCAACAAAGGAGTTATGGACAGCTATGGCTTCTGGGAAAGGGAGAATCATTTTTCCTTGGGGAATGAGTACTACCCATTCCACTGGATGACTCTATACCCATGCACATATTGGCAGCACTAATTGGGATCAGTAGATTAAAAATAAATAAATACATAATTTAAAAAGAGAAATTGAGAGAAATATGTGCTATGGGGTGAAGGAAGTTAGTGGGAGGGGATGGGATGAATATGATCAAGAGACATTATATAATGTATGCAATTATTTAAAGCTGCATCAGATCCAGCACTCGGGAGGCAGAGGCAGGCGGATCTCTGTGAGTTCAAGGCTGGGCTGGACCGACAGCCTCCAAAACAATACAGAGAAACCCTGTCTCGTAAAAACCAAAAAAAAAAAAAAAAAAAGCATCAGATCAGTCATGATAATAGTGGCTCCTTTTGACAAAGGTATATGTCTTCTTGGTGAAATGCAGGCTTTAGGTAGATTTAAACGGTATGAAATATTCAGGTACTGTGTATATGAGTACTCCCCACAATTCAGGAGAGTATACCCCCAAATTTCATCTCATCATTTATTTGAACATATAAATCTTGTTTACATTTTATTTCTTATTTATGTGTATATGTGTGTCCCCACATGAGTTTCCCTACATGAGTTTATATACATTAAATGTATGTACCCACAGAGGCCAGA